TTATCATTTGAGACTTTAATTAAGCATAATCAGACAAAATAAGAGAATCGAGAATTCAAAAAAATGTCAAAAATCTTTAATGAAGGGAAGCGTTGATATTCTCCATAGAGATAAAATTTCTATCAGATAATATGATAATAAGAAAATTACTATAAAATTAAGGTGCTAAATACAAAAAATTATTTTTTAATCTTTTTCACTACTTTCACATTTAATGTTTTTCAAATTCATCAGAACTTTATTAAACTCATCAAGATGTTCGTATTAGATATCTCTTCGCTCATGTAAAGAGTATAAAATTATTATTTTAAATGCATGTAGTTTATATGCAACTTGGCCATGTAAAAGCGCCTTAGCTTCAACTAAAAACTTTGGGGTTGAATTTTACTCTTGAATCTCTCATAAGTTTATATTTAAAATTGAGAGTTGAATTGCACGTATGTATGTTTTATCATATCTTTTTATTTTTTTTATTAAAGGGTATGACAATATCTCCTTGCATTCCATACCTTTAGAAGTTTTATTGGACAAACATGACATATGGTTTGTAAAGTGTGAGGCTTTTCAGTATGTGTTTTGCAAACCCAATTAGACCTATAGCACCTCATGGAGCACAAAACATACAAACATTATATGAAAGAGGGTAATAAGCTTTGAAGCGGCTTATATGTCAACACTATGTAAATAAACGAAGTAATTGTCTTGTCCAAACTGGAACATTGTTTAGCTTTTTAACTAAATAATTATTAGAGTATAAATAATCAATTGATTCTCTTTTTATCAACTTAAATTTTTGAGGTAATTTATTTATTTTTTATTTTACGAGTAATATTGTAGTACTCTATTAATAAGAAAAAGATGTTTACGTTAGTTAGCATGTGGTGATAAGATATTAATTAGTCCCTCGTAAGTGATAAATTCAAGTGAAAAGTATACGATTCAAAATTGAAGAAAATATTTTACAACTAAAGATGGTTCATACTTGTCACTTTTAAGCTTGATTTGTTACCATTGTTCCATTTCGACACCTCAAGGACATATATACCCCTCAGCCCAATCTTTAAACCATAAACTTTTTTTCCTATTTAACACATATCAACTCTTACCCTTGGTTGTATCCTCACTGCTCGCCTAGATCTTAATGTCCCTAATTCCCTATTAATCTAGTGAAACGAGTATTAATCCCTTATTCGTAAGATCCTTGCAACAATCCCTTATTCATCCCATTTTAGTCTAGGTGTTTAAAGTAATAAAAGTAAGTCGGCTGCATCATCAACCATTGCCCTACCTTTTATGTCTCTAATTCTCTATTAGTCTAGTGAGAGGTGTATTGATTCTCCATCTTTACCATCTCTGCAATAATCACTCACCCATAGAGATGAGCACGAGATGTGGTTATATCCATTCTTATACTTGTCTCACTAATAAAAATATATAAATTTTATACATGCATTATATTTGAAGGAGATAAGAGATTATTCACCTATAATTGTCTCTATGGGCAGAATTTTTCACCCGTCATCTATCTCATTTACTTTTTAAAAAAAAAATTAAAGGAAATTGTAAATATTTAAATATAATCTACTTAATAATAAATGTAAAATAATATTACATATATAACATTAAATATTTAGTAATAGAAATTTGATTAATTTAAAAAAAATAAAAATTAAAAAGAATTATCCTATATATATAGGGGGATGGTGTAGGTTGATATCGAGACGAGTATATCATTAAATTTATATTCATCTTATA